ATATATATATATATATATATATATATGTAGTCACGGGAGGGGGAGTATAGCATAAGGAAGATAGTCAATGATATTGTAACAGTTATATAAGATGTCAGAGGGCTAATACCTTGGGGGAGGGGGTTATCACTTTGTGAGGGGTATAAATGTCTACTATGTTGCTTTGAACACCTGAAACTAATTTTTAAAAGATATAAGAAAAACTTAGGAGTCAGGGCGAGAAGAAAAGTCTCTCTCTCTCTTTCTCTCTTTCTCTCTTTCTCTGTGTGTGTGTGTGTGTGTGTGTGTGTGTGTGTGTGAGTGTGTGTAGAGAGAGAAGATTAATCCTTCTTTGGTTATAATAAGTCACTATAAAATGCCATAAATTGTAATAGTCATAATTTATGCTTTCTACAAAAAGACATAGGAAGGTAATAAGCAGAAGAAACAGCTAACAAATTTGAAAGCCTCTTGTAAATAGGATTCTAGAGTAAGAGAATAACGTAACTATTTGACTTTTTAAACTATGTACATTTAAAACTATTTTAATATGGTTATTTTAAAGTAGGTGATATGTGCATATGGGTCAAAATTCATAAGGTACAAAACAGGATTTATTGTGAAATGTCTTTTCCCAGCTCTCCCATTTCCCTCTCAGGGGAAACTAATATGGTCACTCTCTTGTATAAACTTCCAGGGGTACCTTATGCTTATTCAAGCCATGTAGATTATTTTCACAAAAATAGATTTTTTAAAAAACCGTCTGACAGAACAGATTCAGTGACTTGAGGAAGACCACTGTGGAAGGTGGCCCTGGGCATCAGGATAGAAGCAGGAACTTTTTATTTCTTCTATAGCGCCTTGCACTTTCCTCCCACCCTCCTCCCCTGAGTATATGGTTATTTTCATCATCATTATCTTCACCATCAAAGACTTAGTAGAAGTTGGAGATAGGCTTGCTTCTGGGGAGGGCCTGGGGAGGTGTAGGGGACAGAGAATGTCACTTACTTTTGACTGAGTGGCCCTTGTGCTTTGTTGTGGGCCTGTGTCTGCCAGGCGATGGGCCCCCTTTCCTAATTTTCACAAATAAAACATGAGCCTGCGATGCCCTCAGCTGTATATTTATTATTTTGAGCCACTTCTATGTGTTACTTTTTCTTAAAAATGAACGTATATTAAACATATACACCCCCCCCCCAAAAAAAAGACTTTAAAAAGGAAATAATTCATAGGTGAGGGGGATAGGCCTTCCAGGATGGGGATCTTCAGCGGGCAAAGGCTTAAGAATGGGACTCACCCCAGAGCCCTCCACTGGGAGTCTGGCACTTGGATTTAAAATTCTGCTCTGTGCCTTGCTAGCTGAGTGTAGTATTTATTCATGTCTCTAGGGACTTGGGGAGGATAAAATTCAATCATGAAGATAAAGTACATATCATGGTACCTGCCTGGCATATTCTTTCTGACTTTGAACCCTGGGGCGGTTGGTGGGTGTGCTTGCTGCACATAAGGCTCCTTATGGGGACCTGGACTTCTCAGGACACCCTGCGTGGCATAGGATGTTTCAACTCCCCTTCCTGGTTCTTGAATTCCAATAACAGGATCCGATAGCAGTTTCTGTATTGTGTGAGTCACTTAAGAAGACCTCTGGCTTCCCTGGAGTGCAGTTATCAAACACCTTGGCCTGTGGTCAAGATCCTTCTCCCCAGTGGAGGGCTGGGCTGGCCAGAACAATTGTGTTTGAGCCAAAGCATCAAGGTCCTGCACTCTGCAGGATCTCCCACGGACTAGAGAGGCCAAAAGCCTGTAACAGAAAGTGCCAGGAACTTAGCAATGGAAGTTCGGGGTTAGGGGTCCCAGCTTCCTGCTGTCTCTCCAAGCCTTGGGTCCTTCACCTTAGAAATTGATTTCATGGGCTGGCTGAGTGGCTCAGTTGGTTAAGAGCTCGCTCAAGAGTTTGAGCTCTGAGCAACAGCGGTTTGAGTCCAGNAAGGTAGCTGAACACGACATGCTAACCCGTATGCTAATATGATACATAACCCCCAGGGGAGGAGTCGGTAGGGAGAGTGTGGCAGAGGCCACCGGTTTAGACTAAGAGCCTTTCAATGGACTGCTGAATGGATTGGATCTGCTGCTTCAGCTGGGAGCCTTCTTTGATGGTGACAGAACAGGCGATGACAGGCCTGGAGACCCCACAGGCCCGCCCCAGGGCCTGCTTGGAGCACACAAACACGTAGGGCACGTTCTTGTCTTCGCACAGCCGCGGGAGGTGCAGGATAATCTCCAGGGGCTCGGTGTCTGCAGCCATCACAATGAACTCAGAGATGCCTCTGTTGAGGGTTTTGGTGGCTTCATTGGCTCCTTTCCAAAGCTGCTTGTAGTTACATGACTGCTGAACGAGGTCCAATAGTTTCTTGGTGAGGTGGGCATCTGCAAGAGGGTAGGCCTTCGGATTCACATCAGCCTCAGTCATGGCTATGGTTCCGCGGACTCGCCTCTCCTCAAGAAGTGTCACCGACGTCAGAGAAGGAACGCTCGCCTGTGCCGGAAAGTCGCAAAGAAAGCGACACTTACTATTTTATTCAGTCAGGATTTTTAACTTTTTATTGAAATATGACATACATACAGAAAAGAGCACAGATCATTCAAGGATAGCTTGATGACTTTTCACAAATCGAGCACACATGAAATTAGCACCCTCATCATGAAACAGGGCATGACTAACCCCCAGAACTTTGTCCATGCTCCTTTGTAGCGCTACTCTCACACCACCCCATGCCACTGAGGGGCTCCACTCTCTAATCAGAACTCTTGATGGCAAGTGACAGAAACTCAACTCATGCTGGCTTAAACAAAAACAAAGTATTCTCCCCAACTGGGAAGTCCATGGGTGAATCTCACACAGCTGGATCCAAATGTTGTCAGCTTGCTCATGGACCCTCAGTCTTTCTTTCTCTGCTCAGTTCTCTTCTGTGTTGGCTTTTTACCCAAGCAGTTTCCCTTTTCCCTTCAGATCTACAAAAACCCTGGGATCAGACTTGGTGCTGATGCCCGTTCCTTAAGCCAGTTACTATGGTGGATGGGTAGTGGGTGGAATATATAGATAAACCAGGCTTGAGACACACAGAACTAGGGGGTGGTTGGTCAGCCCCATCCAAACCACATGCACTCTCTGTGGGTGAGGGGTGATTCCTCAAAGAGAACTGTGGAGGCTATTATCAGAAAAAGGGGGAACAAGTGTTGAGCGGACACAAACCTTGTCCAGCACCTGTGCAGGGCTGAGCCCCTCCCTGCCCCCCGGATGCCTAAGAATGGGTATTCACTTGGAAAGCACCACAATCGCAGCCCTCAAGTTGTTCGCAGACAACAAGTGGAGGCAGTGTCATGCAGGGTGGAGTGGTATGTGCCTTGAAGGAGCTACAGATGAGGTGTCTTCAGAGGAAGGTGAGATGACTCACAATGGAGGGGTAGAGAAGCATGGAGCTTGCTTGAGGAACAGTAATGATTCTAATCATCTGAAACATAGGATACTGTTTGGGAATCATAGGAAGTGAGGTTGGGAAGCAGAAGATGGCTGAGGAGGAGAATGACATGATCAAATGTGTGGGGTAGGCAGCTCTGGGGGCTCTGCAGTGTAGATTAAAGGGAGGCCAGGGGGAGATTTTGCCAGAATTCAGCAAGTATGCATGCCAGGACTAGCATGACCCTCACATGGCACTGGATGTCTGGGCCACTCACTCGGACCACCACCTGGTCCCTTGACCATCTCATGAATGTGTCTTTAATGTTCCCAACTAGATTGTCATCTCCACCATGATAAGGATAAGGACCCTGGGCATTGAACCTGCTGGATTGAGCCTCTCACTTTCTTATATTTTATTTCTTCCAACCCTTCTATTACAATTGTAATCTCTAAGGAGATTTAACTCTGATGAAAACAAAGGGCTATACAAGAAAGGAAAATGTAGGGGCCAGCCAAGTGGTTCAGTTGGTTAAGAACTCACTCAAGAGTGCGAGCTCTGAGCTACAGCAGTTCGATGCCTGGCCCGACCTGAGCTGCCAACAGGTGGCAGGATGGTTCAGCTTAAAAAATAATAATAATAAAAAGAAAGGAAATGTACTCCTAATGCATGATGTACTTCATCTGTGAGCTGTTTTATAGAGTCATGTAAATTTGTTTTATTTTATTTTATTGGGGAACAGTGTTTTTTTCCAGGACCCATCAACTCCAAGTAAAGTAGTTGTTTCCAATCTAGTTGTGGAGGGCGTTTTTCCAGGACCCACCAGCCCCAAGTCAAGCAGCTGTCCCCAATCTAGTTGTGGAGGGCGCAGCTCCTTGGCCCATGTGGGAATTGAACTGGCAACCCCAGCCCCATGAGCCTGTGCTCTAACCATCTGAGCTAACCGGCCACCCCAAGTCATGTAAATTTTGAATATTACCTTAACCAAAACTTAGAAGAGCAAATTAGTAGACACAATATAGTCATGGGGATATGAAATACAGTGTGGGGAATATAATCAACAATGTTGTAAAGATTATGTAAGGTTCCAGATGGACACTGGACTGGACTTATCAAGGGGATCATGTCATAGACTGTGCAGATGCATGACTAATGCGCTGTACAGATGAAACTGAAGTAGAATAATATTGTATGTCAACTATAATTAATATATATATATATATATATATATATATGTAGTCACGGGAGGGGGAGTATAGCATAAGGAA